CTGTAATTGAACAACAATAGGAAATATGGCATTTTTTAATGTTAAAAAATATTTTATGGCCCTTGCATGTCATGATGTGTTGCTATAATAACTTTTCCCTAGTCATCATTGACTTTTAAAGTCTGATTTTTATAACCAAATAATTTTAAGTCAAGGGCTTTCATGCTAATTTCAATATTATCTAAGCTTTTAATTTTTTGAAGCCAACATTTATTTACCCCTAGAAGAACCCCAAACATGTGAAAGAATCTGAGAATATGGCAACATTTTTTCTCTTGCAGTAAAATATTTACTGAGATTGTTTGCAATTTGAGATGAGGAAAGGGCTCAGAGAACTTAGTCCAATGTAAAATTCCTGCATTTTACAGATGACAAAACTGTTAATATAAGAACTCTGGATGCAATGTTTGTTGAAAAAATACTTAAAAAGTGCTTACAAAAGCAAATCTCATTGTCATGTCATATTGTAAGCACAAATTTTGTATATTCCTTCTCAATGATTTGACTTTCTTTTCCTTGCTATTAATTAAATCTCCCCCCCTCCCCAAAATCCGTTTTTAATTGGTTCAGGCTGACATAAAACACCACAGACTGTGTGGCTTCAATAACAGAAATGTATTTTTTCACAGTTTGGGAGGTTATAAGTCCAAAATCAAAGTGTCAGCAGGGTTCAGTTTCTAGTGAGAGCTCTCCACCTTATGGCCTTTCCTTGGTTGGTACACAACAGAGGAAGGGAGAGGGAGAGAGAAAGAAAGAGGAAAGAGAATGTACTCCTGTGTCTCTTCTTACAAGGGCACTAATCCTATCTGATCAGGGCCCTACCCTTGTGACCTCATTTAACCTTAACTCCTTCCTCAGAAGCCCCTTCTCCAAAAACAGCCAAACTGAGATTAGAGATTCAACATGCAAATTTGGGGAGGGGCACAAGCATTCAGACCTTAAGAAACCCTCTGTACCTAAGTTCAAGAAATGATGTCATACCTCCTGGTTTCAGGGTGGACATCCTAAAAACACTTGGTAATTAATTATCCATGTTTTCTGGCCTTTCATAGTAGTCATGGTTCCTCTAATTCTCCTTGTACTGAATTTATTTCATTGTTCTGAACTCTTGAAAGAAAAATTACAGCCTAGATTTTAATCTTGGTAAATTCAACAAGTTTACATGTGAAAATATTCAGCATATTTGAGTCTAAAAATATTAGTAATTTTTCAGATAAAATAGCCTTTCCTCAGGGATTATCTTGACAGTCCCATGGCATTAGTCCCTCATCACTCAGTCTTCCTTGAAATTTTACTTATTTGTCCTCTGTGATGATATTTAGTATGTTCTTTCTACATTCTTGATTATTGTGTTTTCTTACCAGACTCTTCTTCTGACTTGAACTATGTACCCACAAGCTGAATTCTTTTATCTTTTTATTCCAGATCTTGGAGATCTCAAATGATGTCACTCTTCATCTATTATCTCTACATGGACCACTTTCTTATTTGTGTCCTCAACCTTAACCTGCCCTATACATTCTCTTCTTAACTCGTAGCTCAGGATTTATTGAATAATTTTATTTCTATTTCCTGTTTGCATCTCAAATCAGTATTCCCCCAACTGATCACTGCCTATAAAATCAAATTCCTTGTTCCTGGTCACATAAATTAAGGGGACTCTTAGTAATTTTGACTGATTGGTTGATATATCCAGAAGACTTTACTGAGCACCTAATGTGGTAGACATTATGCTAGTCACCAAATCTTACTTTTCTGTAATGTTTAGAATATGTGTCTGGGTCTTTTCTGATTTATCTGTTCTAGTTATCTTATGTTTGGATTTTTTGAATATCTTCTGTCTAGTGAACCTATACTTATCATTTAAGACAAAAGTGAAAAATCATTACTGGTGTTATGAGTAGACTTCTGTACCCCCCAAATACATGTTTAAGTCCTAATCTCTATGACCTAAATTGGATATTAAGGGTTTGCAATCAAGTTAAGATGAAGTCACAATGGATTACAGTGGGTCCTAATCCTATGACTAGTGTCCATATAAAAAGAGGGAAAATTTGGACACAGAGATGCAAAAGGAAGAAGGCCTAGTGATGATAAAGGCAGAAATTAGAGTGATGCAGCCACAAATTAAGGAAATTCAAGAATTGCTGGCAACTCTAGAAGCTACAAAAGAGGCATGCAACAGATTATCCTAGCCTCTAGAAGAAGCTAGTCCTGTCGATACCTTGATTTTAGACCTCCAGAACTGTGAGAGAAGACATTTCTGTTGTTTTAGGCCATTCAGTTTGTAGTAATTTGTTATGGCAGCCCCAGCAAACTAAAATAGTTTGTGGAGCCATATATAGTATCCCCCAAATTAATAATTTCTTTCTTGGTTCCATAATACTCAGTACTCTTTGTTGTTATTTCCCTGGGGGCTTTGTGAGGGTTGGGGTGTAGGGGGGGAGTCATGGCCTTCTTTATGCTAATCATCGTGCAAGGTACTATACCATTGTCTCAAAGTTTTATTGTTTTGTCTTTTACATTTAAATCCAGCATCTATTCGGAATTTATTTTTTGTAATTGGTAAGAGGTACGGGATCAAACTTTGCTAATGCAATGCATTTTTTAGTCAGTAAAAAGATCAGTTGCCAGTTCAACTCCAATTTGTTTTATACAATACATCCTATTGTTATGATTTTATATTAAAATGAGTAATATGCTTATAAACTGTAAATTCATAAAATATAAGGTGTTTTTTTGGCTTATTTTTATGGAAATGAGGTTATTTCTTTTGACAAAAGCTTCCAATAACATACAGTTTAAGAATTTAGTTCCAGAATAAACAGTTCCACAGCTATTCTGAGTTCCACTTACTAAGTTTTTTGAGTATGAAGGTTAGAGTAGAGACTGGGCAAAGGTACACTCATCAGCCCTGGCTGGTGTGGCTCAGTGGATTGAGTGCTGGCCTTGAGCCAAAGGGTCACTGGTTCAATTCCCAGTCAGGGCACATGCCCAGGTTGTGGGCCAGGTCCCCAGTAAAGGGCGCATGAGAGGCAACCATACACTGATGTTTCTCTCCCTCTCTTTCTCCTTCCGTTCCCCTCTCTCTAAAAGTAAAATAAATAAAATCTTTTTAAAAAGGTAAACTCATCCAAAAAATCTCCCAGGGATCCTGGGGTGACATTATTCTGGGTATGTCTACACCTCATCTTTGTACTGGAATGATAACAAATCACAAATATTCATTGACTCATTGAATTTGTTACTATCATTTGTTTTAAATTAATACAATATACTCTCTCTCCTGGTTTTGGTCTGGACACTCTCCAATGTGTTCTACATTTGGTATAGCATACAGCAATCTGGCCTTTGTTTATCCAGCCTATTCTTTGCTTTCTGTATTGTACTGCCACTGGGCTTTGCCCCTCTTCCTCTTTTGCAGATGTTAGTCCCTTGAGAATCTACCTAATTGTCTTCCAGGATTAAGCATTATCTCATTCAAAAAGCCTGATTTATAGGAAATGCTCATTAAATTTAGGGATTAATATTATTGTTAAAGTAATATAATTAAAAATGCATTCCCGTGAATAAGATATTTCTCCAAAGAGGATGTATAGATTGCCAATAGACATGAAATATACTCATTGCCATCAGAGAAATGCAAATTAAAATCACAATGTGATATCACCTAACGACTATCAAAGTGGCTATTATCACTAAATCAATAAACAAGTGTTGGTGAGGATGTTGAGAAAAAGGAACCCTTATGCACTGTTTTTAGGAACGCAAATTTGTGTGGCCACTATGGAAGACAGTGTGGATATTTCTCAAAAAATTAAAAAATGGAACTGCTGTATGACCCAGTGATTCTGCTTCTGGTTATATATCCAAAGAAACCCAAAACACTAATTATAAAGACTATATGCACCCTTATGTTCATTACAGCATTATTTACAATGGACAAGATATGGAGGCAGCCCAAGTGCCCATCAATAGGTGAGATGATAAAGTGGTGTTACATATGCAGTGGAATGTTAGCCATAAAAAAAAAAAAATGAAACCTTGCCCTGGCTGGTGTAGCTCAGTGGATTGAGCCCAGGCTGCGAACCAAAGCAGCGCAGTTTCGATTCCCAGTCAGGGCACATGCTTGGGTTGCAGGCCACCGCCCCCCAGCAACCACACATTGATGTTTCTCTCTCTTTCTCCCTCCCTTCCCTCTCTAAAAAAATAAATAAATAAAATCTTAAAAAAAAAAATGAAACTTATGTATATTTACAACAGCATGGATGGACCTAGAGGGTATTAAGGTAGGTGAAATGAGTCAGTCAGAGAACAACAAATACAATACGATTCCACTTATATGTGGACTCTAATGAACAAAATAACAAACAAAATAAAGCAGACTCATAGACACAGAGAACAGACATGATTCCAGAAGGGAGGAGAGTTGGGGAACTGGGTGGAAAAGGTGTAAGGAATTAAGAAGTTCAGATTGGTAGTTACAAAATAGTCACGTGGATGTAAAATACAACATAGGGAGTATAGTCAATAATACTGTAATTACTATGTATGGTGCCAAGTGGGTCCTAGAAATGTAAAGTGGGTCCACTTTATAAAGTAGATGATTGCCTAACCACTAGACTGTACACCTGAAACATATAAAATGATAATAAATGTAAACTGTAAATAAAAAAATAAAATTAGAAAAAAACAAGTAAAATTTTCATCTGAAAAATTTTTTAAAAAATGCACGCTCAGTGTGATTATTGAAGGAGTACACGTATGTCTAACGGAGGGACTGCTAGGACTTCGCTTCAAATGCGTTTAGCAACTCTGAACGCCAGAGGATTATAAAAAAAGCTCGTCGAGGGCAATCTAAGAGAGGTTTCACTTCAGAAGACGCTGAAAATGTGACGTGTCTTCTCTCCAACCCCAACCTGAGCCACCGTTTCGTCCGTCTAACCAGTTTCTGAGGCAAGAGAGCGTGGATTGGCTAAGGCTTCTCTCCGCAGAAGCCGTTTGGCTCGTTCGGGCTGGGTTTCTTCATCCGGAAGTGGCCGACGGCCGTTGAGGTCTGTGTCGCCTTCCTCGCTCCGAGAGGTAGTTGGGGCTTCTGCTGCCGACATGGCCAGCTCTGACCCCCGCTATCCCTGCTCCTCGATAGAGGATGACTTCAACTATGGCAGCTGCGTGGCCTCTGCCAGCGTACACATCCGAATGGGTACGTAGCCTCCTCCTTCTGTCCTTCCACCCTCGTCTCCCCTGGTCGGTGGTGCTGCGCAGTCAGTCTCGGGAGGCGGGTTTCCGGTTTCAGAAGGGACAGCGCCCTCCCCGGCCGGTCTCGGAGGGAGAGCGCGGGTCTCCTGGGCTTCAGAAGGGAAGCCCTTCCTTCCTCTGCCTCCTCCCCTCCCGGCTCCGGGAAAGAGCGCCTCCCCGCTGTCGGTGCTCAGAGGCACGGCCGGCCTTAGAGAGGCTTTCTAGCCTCGTGCACAGGGATCGAAACTGGAGTCCATGCTACTTGAATCCCGTCGTCTTCGGTGTAGAAAGGGGCAGATGGAAATCCTCAGTGGCCTTACCTTGGCATCTTTAAATTAAAAGATGGTTATTAAAACTATGGTTATTTTTGCGGTGAAAATAAGTTTATTGTGTGATCATTTTGAAGCACACCAGCACCGAGTTATCTGCTGGCATGTTTGTGCGTTAGGGCGTGCGTTAGAACGCATTTTAATTTTTTATTTGTCTGTCTCCTTTGCTGGATCGTAAGATCTGTGAGGGATCTTATCTATTCTTGTTCACTATTTTCTCTCTGCAGGACCTAGAACTCAACATACGGTTGAGTATTACTGGGGCAGTTGTTCGAAATGGATGCTTTCTAAGTCAGTCAACATACAATACTAGTTTTAAGTTAATATGCAATATCCAATGGGCAGAAATTATTCTGAATTTAAAATGCTCAGTCTCACTTAAGTGGAATTCATTGTCCGCTGTAGTTCAGCCAGTTGATTGCAGGAGCTGTCCCAGATTTGCATCGTGTTGGAGCAGTTGGGGTTTGTTCTGGAAAGCTAATTATGAAGCTCTGATGCACTAAGAATCTTGATTTCTAGTATCTGTGTTTTTGAAATTGAATTTTGGAATTATTTTGGCAAGTGAGCTCAGTTTTTTAAAAAATTAAACATTTTTAAAATTGTGGTAAAATATACATAATATTAAAAGTTAACTGTCTTAACCATTTTTAAGGTACTAAGGTTCAACAGTGTTAAGTATATTCACATTGTTATGCAACCAACCTCCAGAACGTTTTCATCTTGCAAAACTGTACACTCATAAAGAATTGCCCACTTACCCCCTCTTCCCAGCCCTTGAACTACCTTTCTACCTTTTGTTTCTCTGAATTTGACCATTCTAGAGACCTCACATAAGTGGAATCATACAGTGTTTGTCTTCTTGTGACTGTCTTGTTTAAATTGGCATGTTTTCATGGTGCATCCCTGTTGCAGAATTTCCTTTCTTTTTAAGGCTAAACAATATTCTCTTTTATGTATACAACAAATTCATTTGTTGGTGGACATTTGGGTTTCTTCCACCTCATTGTGAATAATACTGCTATAAAATAAGTATAAAAATATCTTTTTGGGACCCTGCTTTCAATTGTTTTGGATATATACCCAAAAGTGGAGTTGCTAAATCAAATATGTTTTGGTAAAAAATTCTATTTTTCCATCAGAAAATCCCAGTTCTTCCTGTATCTCTCCTTGACTTTTCACACAGAACACTTTGGACATTTCTGGTCACTAAATGTGTGGAGGTTTGGGTTTTTTTTTCCTCCCCATACCAAGCAATTCTTTGTGACACTATCTAGGTGTCCTACAATTTAACTCAATTCTGACACTACTTACCAGGAGACAGTATCAAATCCCACAGGTTAAGGGCTCAGTTCCATAAGGCTGCTTCCACTCCACTTCAGATGCCAGTCACAAGTAGTAGGTCCCCAGGTTACCCACTGCTTTTGTCTGACTTGGCCACATATTGGAGATTCCCATGACCCCATCGTCAGATTTGATAATTTGCTAGAGTGGCTCACAGAACTCAGGAAAACCCTTTTATTTTCAAGTTTATCCAAGGATAGAGATGAACAGCCAGATGAAGAATACATAGGTCAAGGTCTCTTGGGGTGGTCCCAAGAGCAGCAGATTCTCTCCCCATAGAGTTGGGATGTGTCATCCTGCCGTGTGCTGGATGTGTTCACCAACCAAGAAGCTCTCTTAACCCTAAAGTATTGGGACTTTATGTAGGCTTCTTTATGGAGCCATGATTGACCTTAAGTGCATTTTCATCCTTTTTTTCTAAAAAAAAAAAAAGGTGGGGGAGGGATTGGGCTGAAAATTCCAACTTCTAATCATGGCTTGTTGTTTGGTGACTGGCCCTTGTCCAGGAGCCATCCAGAAGCCAACCCAAGAGCCACTCAATAGAACAAAGACACTCCTATCACCCAAGACATTACAAGGGACCAGCCGTTTTAGGAATAGGGGTGAAAAACCAAATATTAGAACAAAAGATGCACCTAGTGCTTTTATCACTTAGGAAATTATAGGAGTTTCAGGAGCTCTGTGTCAGGAACCAGAGACAGACACCGAGATATATTTTCTATTTTTTAATAATATGGTAATTCTATTTTTAATTTTTTAAGAAACAACTACACTGTTTTACAGAGGCTGCACCATTTTATATTTTCACCAACATTGTGCAAGAGTCCAATTTCTCCACATCCTCACCAATACTTTTTTTTCCAAGTAGCCATCCAAATGGGTGTGAAATATCTCATTGTGGATTTGATTTGCATTTCCCTAATAATTAGTGATGTTGAACATCTTGTATGGGCCTCATATATGTGTATGGGCCATTTGTATATCTTTGAAGAAATGTTTTTCAATTCCTTTGCTTATTTTGTTTTTAATAGACTTTATTTTTTAAAGTGGTTTTAGGTTCACAGCAAAATTAAGTGTGGAAAGTACAGAGAGTTCCTATATACCCCTGTAATGGGGTGCTGAGCTAGAGATCCCCCCAAATCCCTAAATCCCCACAGCTATCACTTGGGGTATCGGGAAGTGGTGGAGTAGGGCCTTTGAGAGCTACTTCGCGTATCTGGAGAACTTGGCCAGTGTTTTAGTAATATTAAAAGCAATGCCTGCTTGGAGCAGGGGAGATGGGCATGACTCTAACCCAAGATGCATGCATATAGCCGGAGGGGCTTCCTGTGCCTGTGAATCTAGCCATGCTTGCCCAGATGGAGAAAGGCAGAAGAAAGGCTGAAGAAACCAGAGTGCTGGCAAGTGTAAACCAGTGTGGGGGGAGTTAGACAAGGGGTCGCTGAGGGAGATCGAAGCCAGGGATTTAAACCCAGGCGTGGTAGCATGCTGGGGCTTAACCATGCGGTTTGGGAGCCAAGAAGGAGCTCTCTCTTTTAGCTATGCACCCTCTCTTGCAGCCATGCTTGAGCACTGGACCATGGGGGAAGGAGAGTAGGAGAACCATGAGAGGCTCTTTCTCACTCGCTGGGGAAGGTGAGTGAGAAGGTGAAGGTTGGGGAAGGTGAAGGAAGCCTCTTGATCTTGTAGCAGCAGTGCCAGGTCTTGGCCCTGCCGTTTGAAAGAATGCAGAAGGATTCCCCGGCCCACCATGAGGATACAGTTTTGGATTAAGAACGGGAGCCTAGCCAAGCTCCAGACTTCTATTTCTTTTCCTGAGATATGGTACCCTGACTGGCCTAGTTTGGCAAGAGGAGGCAGGACTCGTGTGTGTGTGTGTGTGTGTGTGTGTGTGTTTTAAAGGGACTTTGGGATTTAATGGCAACATTCTGCCATTACTCAAACCTGTATAACTTTTGAATAAATAGTTCTTTTTCATAAGACTCTGGCATTGGGAGTTGGTCACACTGGCAGCAGGCAAAAAGAACCCAGAGTAATGGAACCCACAGGGGGTCTCTGTAACACCCCTGCCTCTACACACTCAAAGACTCCCCCACTATCAACAGCCTGCACCAGAGTAGTATATTTGTTACACTATATGAACCTACACTGACACATCATTATCATATGAAGTCCTGAGTTTAAGCTCGGGTTCATACTTGGTATTGAATAGTCTCTGGGTTTTGACAAATATATGATAACATATATCTACCATTACAGTATCATACAAATAATTCCACTATCTTAAAAATCCTCTGTGCTGTCCCTATTTGTCCCTCCTTCCTGCCAACCCTTGGCAACCAACTCATCTTTTTACTGTCTCCATAGTTTTGCCTTTTTCAGAATGCCATGTAGTTGGAATCATGCAGTATGTGTAATCTTTTCAGATTGGCTTCTTTCCAGTTTAGATCCTTGTATTTCTTTTTCTTGCCCAGTTGCTCTTTTGAGGATTTACAGTACTGTGTTGAATAGAAGTGGCAAATGCAGGCATCCTTGTCTTGTTCCTGATTTTAGAGGAAAAGCTTTCAATTTTTTACTGTTGAGTATGTCCTTTATTATGTTTAGGTAGTTTCCTTCTATTCTCAGTTTATTGAATATGTTTTGCATTGATTGAGATGATCATATGTTTTCACCCCACCATTATGTTAATTTGATATATTATGTTAATTAGTTTCTGTATGTTGAACCATCCTTGCATTCCAGGATTAAATCCTACTGGGCCATGGTGTGTAATCCTTTTAATCTGCTGTGAATTTTGCTTGCTAGTATTTTCATGAGAATTTTTCATCAATATTCATCAAGAACATTGGTCTATAGTTTTCCTGTACTGTCTTTGGCTTTTGTATTGGGGTAATGCTGTCTCAGAATGAATTCAGAAATGTTCCCTCCTCTTCAGTTTTTTGGAAGAGTTGTAGGAGGATTGGTGTTAAAACTCAGTTTTTTAGTTTATGTTTTTTAAACCAATATGAAATCCTCAGATTCTAACCCACCATAAAGTTGACATTGACAGTGTGACACATTAGAGTAATTACGAACTAGTATGGAAGTACTAGGAGTGGATAAGAACTCCTGGCTATCTCATGGATGCCAGCGGCAGAATGAAAGTTTCTCCTAATTCCAGAAGTGATAAAGAAAGAGAATGAGTCCCTTCAAAGAAGGACAGGAATAAAAAAATGGAAGCCATCTCAGGAAATTAAATTTCTGTAGAGGTGGAATCCGTGTGTGAATAGAAGGCATTCACTAGAATGATCTTGTT